CTATTTCTCTGTCTTTCTCTCTGTCTCTCTCTCTCTCTGTCTTTCTGCCAGTCAGTCCATCGATCTATACCTCGGAGTTATTTATATAAAAAAAAATTCCGGCATCAATACATAGTCACCGTTACAATCCCTTTGTGCACGTCCTTCTTTGTCTCTCTTTCAACCAGTCCATCGATGCAATGATGAAACAAGCACTCAATTTATCACCTTCCTTTACATTTTGTTTTCCCCACCAGCAATACATACTCACCGTTACAGTCCCTTCCTGTACGTCTTTTTTTTTTTTTTTTTTTTTTTTTTTTTCCCTCCGCGTCACCAATCCGTTGATTGATCTCTCTCCCTCTCTCTCTCTCTCTTTCTCTCTCTCTTTCTCTCTCTTAAACAAACACTCAATCTATCCCCTTCCCGATAATGCAACTGTGTGTGATTTCAGTCACTTAGCGGACATCTTTTCCTTTTTTTCTTCTCCTTTTTCCTTTATGGCCGGACGGACAACAGATCCATGTCCCGTTTGGAATGAATCAATCAATCGATCAATCAATCAATCAATCAACCAATCAATCAATCAATCAACAAATGATTCTTTCTTGCTTTCTTGATCAGTCAAACGAGCAAGCAACCCGACGATAAATATTATTATTCCTATTGTTTTTTTTCCTGCTCTTTGATGTAATCAGCCACTCAATCAATCAATCAATCAATCAATCAGTCAATCAATCAATCGATCGATCAATCAATCAATCAACGTTTCTGTTTAATCCTCGGCTAAACACATCGCTATGGTCTTTGTGCATGTTATGACACACTGCATGTTTTTCCCACATTTGTGTTTCTGTCTAATCCTAAGCTAAACACATTGCTATGATCTTTGTGCATGTTGTTCTTGCTTTGTGTTGATGAATCCTTCCGCCCTCCAAAACTGTGATCGCCTTTAGCTGAATCTTCTCGCGCCGCATAACAACGAGCACGTCATGCACATCGGACACAACAACAACGCTATAGACACACACACGTTAACCGCATCCATCCGCGATTCAACACAGCGCGCATTTACACCGCCGCTCTCATCACACAACATGTTTTTGTCACCATTGCGGCGCTCGGTGACAGAACACCGTGCGTTCATTGTCGTGCGGAGAAATGGAAACACGAACATCCATGGACGATATCATGTTGCCGCCGAGGCAAAGTCGAACCGGAAATATGACGGCTCCCTCTGCCACAAACCCCGGAATATCAAATCCTGCAACTATGGGAATCCGACACATCGCACGGGAGGCTCTTGCGAGCTCGAGCGCGCCAATTTAACAATGCACTTGCACTAACATCGCAAACTGTCAAAGAAACACAATATCCTCCGGGCCCCGGGCCAGGTATGCTGCGAATAGAAGGCGCGCACCGACAAAACCTGGGCCCCCTCTTTCTGCAACCGAACGTTCAACCTGCTTTCGTGCAAATTTACGTCTATGACCCACATGACGAATATGGCCCCACACTTCTGCGGCTCAATCGTCTTGATCTGCCTATCGACACACCTCTCGCAACAGTTCGCAACATAAAATTTCTGCTCCGAAAACTGCAGGCAATCTTATGCTCAGGCAACCCATGGGTGCAAGACTTCATTACTATTTCTGAAATGTCGGACGAAATGTTATATGAGCACCACATTGTTATCAATCCTGACGCCCAACCAACAGGTGAGCATGCACGCCGTTACAACAAACCGGAAGGCCTTAAAGAGATTTGTGTGCTCATGCATGACCAGCCTACAAACCGCGAAATCAAAATTCACAAACGTGAAGGGGGTATTATCGCGATCCCTGAAACAACCCGTGTTTTTGATCCTCTCCATTACGTTCTTCTTTTTCCTAAAGGTGATGACGGATGGACACCTGAATACGATTGAGATGATGAAGATGCCGCTCGATCTACCACAGCTAGAGAATTTTACGCTTTCCACTTAAACACACGTGTCACTGAAAGAACGACCCTCTTCCGCGCCTCTCGACTTTTCCAACAATACGTCTGTATGGCATTCGCGAAAATTAAAAATGGCCGCCTCCTATACAATCGCTTACACCAAACTGAAATACGTGCCGACTTGTACCAAAACCTTAGAGATCACGTTATGCAGTATGACAATACAGAAAATGTTGGCCAACGCATTATCCTGCCTGGAACATTCACTGGGAGACCCCGTGACATGCACCGCCAATATCAAGATGTTATGGCAACCGTCCAAGAATATGGAGCGCCTGACTTATTCCTCACTTTCACATGCAACCCGCATTGGCCAGAAATAGAAAGTGCACTCTTCGTGAATCAACAACCAGCGGACCGCCCTGACCTCCTCACGCGTGTTTTCAAAGGATACCTTCGCCAACTCATCCACAACATACACTCGACTCACATATTCGGCCCAACAACATCATACACATATATCATTAAATTCAAAAAACGTGGTCTACTGCACGCGCACATTATTGTCACACTCAAACAAGACCACAAATTTCAAACACCCGAACAAAATGATTCTATTGTTTCTGCCGAGCTTCTCGCCAACCCTACATTGCGAGATCTCGTCCTTGCTCACATGATTCACAACCCGTGTGGTGTGCACTACATGCACGCATCATGTATGCATCCGTTGCACACACTTTTTCCCTAAAGATTTATCCAAACACACAACCTGGAATGAAGAAACTGGATACCCCATTTATCGTCGCCGTTCGCCCAACGACGGAGGACTGACAGCACTCCGCGGTGACACTGAAATTGATAATTCCTGGGTTGTCCCTTATAACCCTTACCTCCTCCTCCGATATCGCACGCACTTCAATGTCGAAATTTGTGCCTCGACCGCCGCATGCCGATACATGTTTGAGTATATTCTCAAAGGGCCTAATAGAACGATGGTCGCTGAGGCGGTAAATACTGAGGATGAAATTCAAACATACCAGGATATGAGAACAATTGGTGCTGCTGAATCCTGTTGGCGCATTTTCGACTTTGCCTTATGCGATCGCTACCCCGCTGTCACGCCTCTGCCTGTTCACACCGAAAACCGGGAGCGCATATATTTTCGTCATCAACAAGCCCTGCGAATTGCACATGCACCACCACCCGAAACGGAACTCACGGCATAGTTTAAATGGAACGTTGCTCATCTTCAAGATCTTGAAGATAACAAACCACTATACAAAGATATGATACACTGGTTTCGTTTCGACAAAACCACAAAATGATGGACTGCTCACCGAAACACAATGAACACAATCGGACGAATACATACAATCCACCCAAATGGAGGTGACACATTCTACCTCCGAATTCTCCTGCTCTCGCCACATTCACGCGGCGCTACAAGTTTTGAGCATCTTCGAACTGTTGCCGGGGAAATTCACCCGACATATCAATCCGCATGCAGAGCCCTCGGCCTCCTGAACGACAATACCCAAGTCGATGCTGTCGTGCAGGATGCTATTTTCACATCATCATCGCCCATGGTGCGTGACCTTTTCGTCCACATAATTCTTCACTGTGCCATCAGTGATCCGAACGAATTCTTTGCATCCCATTGGGAACAAATGACAGACGATTTCCATAGAAATCTTCGTGATGTCCAAATCACGACATCAATTATCAAAACAATGGTCTTACTTGACATCGAAAACCGCCTCCAAAAAGAAGGCAAAGAGTTCTGCGACGTCGGCCTCACTGCCCCGTCCGCGGAAGATGGACACCAAGCCGAACATCTTTCCGAAAGACCACGCCGCCAAGGCATCCCCCGAATCATCGATGATGAAATCTCTTATGATTAACATATCCTGCGGAGCACCCTCGACAACAACCTCCCGCGTTTAACACCATCCCAATATGCAATCTTCCAACGTGTCATCCACACTGCCGAAAACAATCAATTGCTTTACCTTTTTGTTGATGCGCCTGCAGGCACAGGCAAAACATTTTGCTTTAACACAATTCTTGCACATCTTCGTCTCCACAATCGCGTTGCCCTTGCCGTTGCCTCAAGCGGCATTGCAGCAACTCTGCTAGATGGAGGCCGCACTTTCCGTTCGTGCTTCAAAGCAACCCTCAATCCCACCGCCACTTCCACATTAGACATTCCCAAACAATCCGCAATCGCAGACCTTATACGCATGACCGGTGTTATCCTCTGGGACGAGGCGCCCATGATGCACAAATTTCACATCGAAGCACTCGACCGAACTCTACAAGACATTTGCTCATTAGCGCTTCCATTTGGAGAAAAAATCGTTGTCCTTGGCGGCGACTTCCGACAAATCCTCCCCGTCATCACTAAAGGCACACGACCGCAGACAATAGACGCGTGCATTAAATCATCACCATTGTGGGCCCACTTTGAAACCATGCACCTCTCTGAAAATATGCGAGTGCAGACCCAAATTGCCACTCCAGAAGGGCGAGACTACGCACAATGGCTCCTCGCACTAGGAAACGGCGAGCTCGAACACCCTCACGAAACTCCGTCCGACACTATCTCACTGCCCCCCCACTTATGTCTCCACGGCGGTACCGCTGAGCTCATCGAATGGACATTCCCCAAACTCCAGACCAATTTTCGAAATCCCGACTGGATATCTGAACGCCTCATCTTAGTCCCTAAAAACAAAACTGTCTCCACACTCAACAACATCATCCTTGATTTTTTCCCTGGGGAAACCATCACATCACTCAGTGCAGACTCACTTCTCCCGAACGAGGAATTCCCTGACATCCCCATCGATACACTCAACACCCTTGACTTACCGTCGCTGCCACCGCACATCCTCCGCATGAAAAAACATGCGCCGGTTATTGTCCTGCAAAATATTGCAATGCGAAACAACCTTTGCAATGGAACACGACTCATTGTCGACTCCATCACCAACAACAGACTGCTCTATGCTTGTGCACTCCCCACTTTCCATCCAAGTTCTCCTCCCACGCATACTTCTCACAGTAACAGATGCAAGCTCCCCGTTCCCATGGCAAAGACGTTAGTTCCCCATCCGGCCCGCCTTCGCCATCACTGTGAACAAATCCCAAGACCAATCGGTCAGACACGCTGGCATTGACCTGCACCCACCACCATTCGCGCACGGGCAACTATATGATGCCGCCTCCAGAGTCGGCGATCCTGCACATATCCGCTTCGCCCTCCTGACATCACTACACCACACAACAAACATTGTCTACAACGAAATTTTGATCTAAAACATACCTCACTATTTTTAACACCGAATTTCTCATTGCCGTGCAGGTTCGCCATAAAAAAAACTCAAGACTTCAACATCGACAACCACTGCGGCCGACGACTCACCAACAATGCCTACATCGACAACAACATTGATAACATCTACACCCGTTCTAGCCTCAACAGCATCGACGACACCCCTTCTCGACACATCCACCACCACCTCGGTACTCCGTTCGACTACCATGACACTGCCCACAAACCCTTCTATCACGGCCGCATCCATCGTCGCTTGCACTCTGACATCCACCACCCCAACAACTGTCGAGGCCTCACCATCGACCACTACTGCTAATATCCAACTTCTTGTTGCTTCGGCATCCGACACTTCGACTCTCGCCACTGCCTCTGCTTCTCGCACAATTTCTACAACATCCTCTGCTTCAGACCCTCTATCTTCATCACAACCTGCAACCGTTATACTCCCATTCCTTGGATTGGATGACATCACCCTCAGCCAAATCCCTCTCCCATCCTCGCACCATTCCACATCACAAACTACTGCTTCCACCATCACAACCTCCACACCCATTAGATGGGATGCTTGGCTCTCTCTCATTAACAAAGATAATATCAAACAAATTATTGAACAACTTTTCTGGGAAGACTTCATCGTCACTGACCATGCGGCTTTCTCACCATACATATATGAGTTCTTTTCCGCTTACAAAGACAATCGCACCCTTTCTCTCCACCGTCCTGAGTTGTCACCCGATCCTGACGTTCGCTACGCACAATCAAGAACATTCATGCTCAAAATCATTAACGATGATTACAACCGAACACCCTCCCCCCCCACACGTGGCCACAATATCAATACGAGCGCATCACCATTGCCCACCATAAACATTTCTTCATTCGTTCTGCACCGCTTTCGCAACAACCATTTCTCCGCCCTCACACTCTCCGTGAAACCGGTCCACCCTGGTGGCTCCCGCTCCAGCCCTGGGGCATCACACGTGCAACAACCGTCATCCATGATATCCTCGCCGCCCGTCACACATTCGCCATCTATAACATTCCTCACCCACTGCGTACCTGGGATTATCTTGACGGCCTTATTTTTCTTCACCACAATCATATGCAACTTCCTCTCCCGCTCTTCCCTGCCTTCCGAGTCGTCATTGTCCACCGCGTTGTTACACTGCTCCGGGCTCTTGCTCCTACACCGCTGCACTGAAACCTCCGAGACTTCCTTCCCCGATTGCTTACCCTTCTCCAAACAATGCAAGACATATGCAGACTCCGAACATGAAAGACGTCAGGCCGGCTTCCAGACAATGCGGGATGTATCCTCCGGACACAAACATCAAATGAGCAGCAGCCACTCGGCCCGCCAGCGACACCGACATGCAACTGTGCAAACGGCGCATCCCCTTCAAGCTTTTCTCTACACGTCAAGGAAAATGCAAATTTCGAGATTGCGCCTATAAACCTGGCCAGGATGCGCCTCCATCTACCGGATCCAGCGGCAACATCGACAAGGCATCAAAGTGGAAGAAAGAGACGACGAAAAGGAGAAACCCGAAGATGCATGAGAAGACAACCTACCGCACCTCCGTCGCATGAAATTACAGTTACTTTGCATGTGACTTTTTCCTTTTCCTCCAAATCTTGACCTTTTTAAACATTGTACACATTTTCTTTGCCTTTTTTTACAAATTTGGACAGTATCTGGTCAAGGTGCATTGCGAGCTGAGTTCCACCTGGTGGCGTTGTTTCACAAAATTTTTTTATCATTCTCCTTCGCCACAGCGTGGCTGCGGCACAAAAATGAGAAACCCTAAAATCCGTGAGAGGCCACACTGTCGCACCTCCGTCGTATGGAATTAAAGTTACTCTGCATATGTCCTTTTCCTTTTCCTCCAAATCTCGACCTTTTGAGACTTTGTGCAGATTCTCTTCGCCTTTTTTTACCAATTTGGACAGTGTCTGGTCAGGATGCATTGCGAGCTGAGTTCCGGCTGGTGGCACTGTTTCGCAAAATCTTTTTGTTGCTGTCCTTCGCCACAACGTGGATGCGGCGGGTCCACTTGTAATAATAATAACAGTCATAATAATAATAATAATATTGACAGGAGAAGAGAGTTATGACATCATAATTACCCCGAACTCAGGCAAGGACTCAGACCATCGCATAAATTCGACGCTTAGGTTTTCTTTCCTTTCCCCATATTTTCTTTTCCTATCCTTCTCTTTTCTTGGTTCTCTTCGTTTTGACATCAATATTTGTCTTGTGCACCTAACCCATAACCTGGCAGAGGGGCACTCGGCGTGCAAAAGAAAAGACCGCGCCCGTCCCTCTACCTTCGCGTCCCTGGGCAAACCAGACGGCTACCACAACCACAGGTCGTTAGTGCTCTGCTGTATAGCAGGGCGTCGAGCCTGCGTGGACCAATGGAAAGCCCAGTGGCGCACACCCAACCTTTTTGCTAAGGTGCACGCCAACTGGACCGGTCCATAACAGGGCATAATCCAGGTGTACCAAGAGAACTACGGAGGTTCGAAAACAGCCCGACGAGCCACAGACTTCTGAGCAGGGTGCTGGTACCGAGCAGGGTGCTGGTACCGAGCAGGAGCCTGACACACAGAGGAGGGCCGAGACACCACGCCCTCCTACAACACACGTACGAATTTCGAAATGTATATTCCGATGTTCTAGCGGAAGATTCAATGAATTTTGCTCATCGTATCGATGGAAGTACCGTGAGGGCAGCCGTGGCGTTCGAGACTTACCTGTTGGCATGCGTTGCTCATCCTATCGATGGAAAACTCTCTCTCTCTCTCTCTCTCTCTCTCTCTCTCTCTCTCACACACACACACACGCACACACACAAACACACACACACTCACACACACGCACACACACACACACACAATCAATTTTATGTCTGTTGGCCTTTCTTCTTTTGTCTGTCCCATACACGTGTCCTTTCCTCGTTGTATGGGAAGGGGCGCTGTCGGCGCGAATACCCTTACAAGGGTATCCGTCCTGGTTTTTGCAAGTGACAGAAAAATCAATTTAATTTACAGTTTGAATATACCGCGCGAGTCGCAGTAGTCTCCGTTATTTATTCGGCTGATGGTTGACTAGAATAAAGAGTGCGTGGGCGCGCAGATTTGAGGCGCGCGTGACCTTTTTATTTGTTGATGACTGAAGAGTCGGCGGGATCGCCGACCATGAATTTTTTCTTTATTTATGATTAAACTAGGATTAAAAAGATTTTGTTCTTTGATTGGTGCGTTTGCCTGTGACCTGTGCGTATGTACGCAGGACGGCATCGACAACAATGTGACTTCTGAAGGCGTTTCGGTAGCTTGGCACGTCGCGTAGTGTCCGTTTATTTAGGCGTCTGCCAGAGCTAAACCCACTCTCGGGCCTAGTACTATTTAGTTACGGCGTCAGACTTTCATCTGAAAGGCTCGGGGATCGAGATCGAGCGGCGACAACACGGGAGCATCAGAGTAGCGCGAAAGGGCAGAGGGGTCGAGGGCCCGACGGGGTTATCCCCCTTGGTTTTGCCATCAGCGGTGTCCGATCGGTGGTGACACCCTTTAAGCAAGTGTTTTTAGTACCGTACTCCTAATACTTTTTTTGTGCTCCGGCGTGCCGTTGTCCAGGATGCGACGTCGGATTTACTGGGCGTCACGACAGTTGAGGACTTGGAGCTCGGGGCCTCGTTGAACGGGTCCGCGGGTTGAGGATGTTGGTAAAGACCCTTACCACGCCATTGCTAAGGACGCGGCGCAGTCAAGGGGGGCCGGTAATACTGAATGTATACGGCCTACGTCTCGGGCCCGGTAGGGGTCGTGTGGGGTGTGTTGTATTGGCGGGTGTTGCCAGGGGCAATGATTACAAATTGTCTTTGTGACTGCGCCAAGGCTTACCCCCTTTCGATATCACGAGAAGTCCCGTAGCAGCGACGTCCGTGCGAGGGTCTTCAACGAGGGGACATGCGAGAGCCGCATCAGCCAACAGGTGCGATGCCCCCTGCAGCAGGCAGGCGATACCAGCTAGGGGTCAGTCGGTAGCATTAGGGTCAGGTTCCTCCAATAGACCGGCCAACAGTGCCCTTAGTATAGTCCCCTTCGGCTGTGAAACGCCAGCGGCCTCTACTAAGGGGACGAGGGACCGCTTCAGGGCATACGCGGCGGACCTCGTACCCTCCAACCCCTGTCGGGTGTGGGCTGTGTGGCTGCGACGGGCGGACTGCCTTCGGCAGGCAAGCTCCCGCATACTTGTACCGGGGTCCGTTTTTCTTCCGCCCGGGTCCACGGGTGGCGCTGGGAAAGTCTGGGCCGTAGCACAAATTCGCTACAGGCAGAGGTGTGACGAGCGCAGAGCCAACAGGGAGGAACGGAGAGAGGCGCAGAGCCGCAGGGAGGATATGGGGTGAAGGACTGGGCCGACCACTTAGTGGCGCGACCCTCAAAAGTTCCTAGATACCGGCGCCGACGGACAGACCGCTACAGAATGCTATCGGATCAAGAAGGCGGAGGACGAGCAGAGCAGGGCAGAAGGCAGATTGTAGTGATAGAAAGGAGGGAGGGTTGAACCTAGGCGAGAAATCGTCTTGGGTACAGTCGGTAGTAGAAGAAGGTTGGAGATGGCAGGTTGAGAGCGGCGGGATTCAGGCAAATTGACGGAGGAGTGACGACGAGCTAGGCGGGCGGGCGCTGCAGGGAAGGGGGTGAAGGCGATGAAAACGGGGCTGAATCTGGGCAGCTTGTGGTGCCAGGTTCATTCCAGAGGGAGAAGGTACCGGGGAGGAAGCTGGCACACGAGGAGAACGTTATGTTCCGCTCGTTCCTTTACTAAAACGAGCATGAAAAGGAAGCGTTCCGGGGGTTTTGCAAGGGGGGCGACATCGAATATGAAGTCAGTTTTAGTAAAACATTAGTAGAATGGTGGGTTAGTAGAAAAACCAGTGCGCAGGAGCTATGACAGATAGAGTGGGGGGGGGGCGAGTAGAGGAAGAAAGATGACTTACTCTCTCGTTCTTTTGCGGTTTTGGGCGGTTGAAGATTTGAAGTTGGGGTTTTGATGGATGGCGACTCCGATGGCGGTCTTTGTTTAGGCTTTAGAGCAATGGTTTGGGTCCTACGATGGCGACAGGCTGCGCGGGGGTACGTAGAAGGGTGGATATGGTGCGAGCGGGGGACTGATCTTCCACAGTCCTCAGTAGAATCGAGGGAGGGCAAAGCCCATAGAGGGGTTGTTTGTTTTCACGAAATTGAATGATGGAGGTAGATTTAGAAAAGGTTTAGTGAGGAGGAAGTTAGTAGATGAAGAATTAGTAAGGTGACGATGTATCTAGCCGGTGTCGGGACTGGTGGGTCCCGAATAACTTCCCATCACTCGAGAGATTGAATACGAACAATTTGTGCACAGCAGAGAAATCTGGAGTGAGGAAGCAGGAAAAAGAAAAGACAAAGGGTTAGGCCGCAGAAGAGAGTGATGTTCTGAGGAGAGAACCACAGGAGGAAAGAACTAGCGACGGCAAGCAAGCAAGTGCAAGAATGGGGGCACATAGAACATAGTAGGAGGCCGGGAGGGCCATCGGAATGCAATAAGACTAAGGCCAAAGGGCTCTTTGAACTAGCAATTGCAGCGCGACATTAATAAGGGAATGAGGAAGCCAAGAGATGGGCGGCCCAAAGGCCGCGGAAAGTCACGAAATGAGGGGCCACCACGGAGGCCACCTACGGAA